AAAAAAAAAAAAAAGCAAATTAAAACAAATTGTACAATTTTATAAACTTGATTATCTTTAACTTTTACCATTCATATATTTTTATAGTACCGTAGTTTTCGCCATATAAGTCGCACCTTTTTGCATAAATTTGCAAGTCCTGCGACTTATACACCGAAGCGACCAATATACGTTTATTCCCCCATATTTATAATCCAATTTTTGGCTGAGATCTGATTTCATTCATTCTGACATGAAAAATATTAAACAGCCGCTAAAGGGCCCTCAACGCATATGGCAAGCCAAGTGTCTCATTAATAGGTAAAGTGGCTATTAATGAGATGCTTGGCTTGCCATACCAAGCCACCTTCATCTCGCTCCAGAACTCCTGGAGCAAACATCAAATCAGCTGCGTTTCACCGCGCCGCCCAGACGAAAAGCAGCTGATTTGACCATTAAAGTGTGTTTATTAAAGAAAAGTTCAACTGAGACACACCTTTGCTATAATTCTGAGCAAACAAATAATTATTTTCAAGTGTAAACATTGTTAAATTCTTGTTAAAGTGCTCCTGTGCGCCCTCGTGCAGCTGCCAAATGGCAATCGATTTTTGGCACAACACCGGCCCACGTTTCCAGATGGTCAGCGGTGACGCATAATAGATGCGACTTATACAACGAAGCGACTTATTTATGCTTTTAATCCACTTTATTAGACATATTTGGACAGATGTGACTTACTGATACGGCAGTGCGACGTGTACGGCGGCAAGTACGGACATTTTTGATTCCTGCAGTTTCAGTCATTAATATGATCGTATACGAGACTAAACATAAACTAAAAACAAAGAACTAAGTGTCCCTCCCCTCCTACCTGTAGTGATCTCTGTCCAGGTCACTTCTGAGATCAAGGTGCTGGGTGGCAGACAGCGGCAGGCTTTTCCTGCTCCAGTTTCTGCAGGATTCGGAGGACGACAGCACCAGCAGGTTGCTGTACTTGCCTGACAGTCTGAAGGGTGGCACCACACTGTAACCTGCAACACATGGGTAAAACCTCACAATTCTGCTTCAAATCTGACAACATGATAAACTTGTGGAAAAAGTGCGGAGAAGGTACCGAGAGCAGCCTTGTCCTGCACGGCCAGGTGAAGTGCTCCAGTCAGGAAGTTGATGAGCTCGGGCAGGAAGCGCTTTGATAACGAGACGTACTCCACTGCCAGACAGCACAGCACTAAACCCGATGTCAAGTCCTGTAACGACCTCACAGGACACTGAAAACATGAAAAACAAACAAACAGAAATAAACCAAGCAGTTACAAGAGGCTACATGTTTTCCCTCCATCTAGCTGAGAATTATGCCTTCTTGCACGTTACATAAAGAAAAAAGGATCAAGAAGAAGATCCTTAAACCTGACTTTATGTCAAAATGATGACAAAACATGCCAACACTTATTATAGAGAACGTGCAGGGGTTTACCTTGGTGAGAGTCTGGCCGATGTAAAGCAGAGCTGGAGTCGTGACTGGGTGTCTGAAGTCGGAGGTAGGAAACAGCAGCGCTGTCACCTTCAGGTAAATGAGCTTAAAGCACAAAAACAAACAGTGACTTTGTTTCATGTAGAACCCAGAACACATCTGGAAACCTGATGGCTCAAAATTAGGGATGCACAATATTATCAGCATGGTATCAGTATCGGCCGATATTAGTGTTAAAATTCAATATCGTCGGCCATTTCATTAAAATAACTCGCCGATATAAAAGGCATTGTTTTTACCTGCAGCGGCAGCGCAAGGCGATGACGTCACGTGCGCCTACCTGATCTCACGGCAGAGAGTTAAATTCAAAATGTCGGCGTTGTGGAAGTTTTTATTTTTCGTTGGTGAGGATGTCGGATTCTGAAGATTTATGGACTACGTTGAGCCTCGCTACATCGTCCCCAGTCTGAGATATTTTTCCGACGTAGCCTTACCCGTTACAAGCCGTCATTTCTGACGTCATTGAGAAGCTAATAGCTGATAGCGCGACTTGTTGGGTGAGTTTTACCACAGACATTTGCACATCAAGTGTTAGCCCCGTTAGCATGATTAGTCTCACGGCACAATGGACAGACAAAAACTTTGAATTTAAAAAGTCTGTCCTTCATGCACAGGAGTGCAGAGGATCCCACACGGCAGCTATAGGAACCTGGAACAAGTCTCCACAAGTGAGACAGCATCGCAGGTGACTAATTCTAATAAATAACATTTAACACTTTTCATTTAATATAAGTTAAAGTGCTATGCATATCATGTGTCTTTTACTGAATATATGTCACCAGCTCTTACAGCTGTTACACAATTTTTGTAGCAAATAAGCCTAAATAAGAGGGTTATGTTCTGACAAAGGAACGTATATAAAATATCGGTATCAGTATCAGATATCGGCCAAAAATCCAATATCGTGCATCCCTACTCAAAATGTTTTCATGCTCCGACAAACACTCATCATGTTTATGCTCTTCACAGAAAAAGTTCTAGATTCACAAATTTAAAATCAAGTTAGTTTTACACTAAGGTTTGTGTACTTACCATATTTTTCGCCCTATAAGTCATGATTTTTTGCATAATTTACATGCCCTGTGACTTATAAACTGAAGCAACTATGGATTTTTCCCCATATTTACAAACCAATTTTTGGCTGAGATCTGACCATCTACATTCACTCTGACTGGAAAAATTGAACACTACCATTTTCAGCTGCTAGATGGCACTTGAGTTGTATGGCATGCCATCGTATCATGTAATAGGTAAAAGTGGCTATTAATGACAAAATCGGCTTGCCACAGTAGCAACTTTGTTTCTGCTAGCTTGGAGCAACCGTCAAATCAGCTTCATTTCGCTGCACCGCCCCGGTGAACTGAAGCTAATTTGACCATTGAAGTGAATTTATTAAGTAAAAGTTCAACTGAGACACACCTTTACTATAAAGTCGAGCAAATAAATAAACGTTTTTAAGTGTTAAACTTGTTAAATCCTTGTTAAAGTCCTCCCGCGCACGCTTCCGCAGCCGCCATTTGGCAGTCAATCGATTTTTGGCACACCGGCCCATATTTCTAGGTTGTCAGCGGTGACGCATAATAGATGCGACATATACGGTGAAGTGACGTATTTATGGATTTTTCCACTTTATTAGACATATTTGGACTGATGCAACTTTTAGGGCAGAAAATACGGTATTTAAACCTAATTAGACCTGAGACGTGGTTTTTTTTATTCTTCAATCACTAAAAACTTATTTTTTAGCATCTGATAATAATAAAAAAAAAAATCTACACAGAATAAAGACTATTTTTGTAGGGGTTAAATTGACTTAAAGTTAGCTCACATCACAAAACATGTACTGGTAAAGATGGTAAATGGTAAATGGAGTGTACTTATATAGCACCTTTCTATCTGATCAAGACACTCTAAGCACTTTACAAAACAATCTGTGCCTCATTTACCCATTCATACAGCGCTCTACTAGATCTCTACAAAGCTAATTGAACAAATCATTCTAAAAAGACTACTCAGAGCTTTATCACATTCATACACTGATGGGACACATCAGAGACAATGAGGGGTTCAATGTCTTGCCCAGGGACACTTCGGCATGTGACTGCTGGTGCATTCGAACCCCCGACTCTTGTATCTTTATTAACACTAAATAACTAGTTATTCATTAGAGGACGCTTCTTTCATCACAAATATTTCCTACCATGTCTAATGTGGGGAAAGCAGCACGACCTTTGACCTCAAGATCCTCCTCCATGCTGTGAGCAGCATCTCCCAGGATGCTTTGCATGGCCTGAGAGGCCGCTTCTGGAAACACCTGGCACAAACTGTACAACTCCCTTCAGAAAAAATAAATAAATCACACAGTTGATCAATCAATCAATAAATATTTATATTTAGATGTGGCCGAGAGATGGAGAGAGGCTCGTTTTTAACTCACGGAATGAGTTTATCTATGGTGGTGAGTTCAGGTGGACTTCTGGTAGCGACTTCGCCGATGTACTCCAACAGAAAGCCAAAAAGTTTCTGTGACAAAAACGAACGAACACTTTAGCATTCAGTGCTAACAAAACCAGAAGCCACAATAATCTGCTTCACATTATACCTGCAGTTTGAGCTTATTGCCCACAGACAGACTGGGATGGTTGCACTTCTGAGTCCTGGCCACAATGAGGCGCTGGTTGTCAGGGGTGTGACCATGAAGTAAACCTTTCAGATCATCGTAGCTCTCAGGGGCTAAAGGAGGATAAGATACAATGATGAACTAACAAACAACAAACCAAAAATAGATAAAGCTCAATGAACTAAATTAACCTGTAAATAGAAACATTGAACATAAAAGAGCTAAATCCAAAAACTTCAGCTGCATGCTTACCAGTAAACGTGTACGGGAGCTCTGCTTTAGCTGCGTCCTGCTGGGCCTTCAGCTCCTCTGTGGTCAGAACCTGCATGGGTTTGGTGCTGTCAGGCTCTTCATCCTCCTGGTTTCTCTCCTCGTTCTCGCTTTCTTGATCAGATTCCAGGTCTGAGTGGCCATCTTCTTCTTCACTGCTGTCCTCCTCCTCTTCTTCCTTTTCATCGTCATCCTCCTCTTCTTCATCGTCATTTTCCTCCTCTGCATCCGACTCCTCTTCCTCTCCGCTCTCTCTCTTTTCTCCATCTCGTTCCTGGACCTCCTCCACCTCCTCCCCAAGGTTCCATTTTCCATCCTTTACCAGGAAACAGTGAACAGTATGTTAAACTAGAAAAATGGCATTTTCTATGAAAATGAAGCGTAAATGCTGAAATTTACTGATCAAACTGAAACTGACATACTATAAGCATGACACTAGCTAAAACCTAAAAAATAAAAGTAAAACCAGCAAAAAAACTAGCTAAAAAGTGCAACCCTACCTAAAAGCTAGAAAGACCAACACACTAGCTGAAAGCTAAAAGAAAAATATTATCCAAAAGTTGAAAAGGTTAGCTAAAAGCATTAAAAATATAGATAAAAGCTAAAACATGCAAAAACTTGCTAGAAAAAAAACAATAAACTAAAAGCTAAAGTAGCAACAGGCTAGCTAAAAGCAGCAAGACTAGCTAATATAATAAAAGGTTAGCTCAAAGCTAAAACATGCAAAAGCTTGCTAGCAAACTACCGGTAAAAGCTAAAGTAGTAAAAAAGTAGCTAAAAGAAGCAAAAGGCTAGCAAAAAGTAGCATAGACATTTGCAAGTTCAGTATCCTGAAGCAAATTTCAAAGAGAACAATGTTTTTGAAGGAACTGAAGTGATCTCAGTGTATGTTTAAGATGAATATTTTTTTGCAAATAGTTAATTATTTTGAAAATTACAAAAGATAAAAACAATTTCATAGCCCTCGTGTAGTGAATGAGCTTAACCTTTTGATCTACGGCTGGCTAAAAGAGCACATAGTGGGCAGAGTTAGATGAGACTTAAAAATGTCAACAACAAAAAATAAATAAACAACAGACAAACAGCAGTGTGAATGCTGACTCAGCATTTACAAAAATTCAGCACGAGGGAACAAAACAATCCTTTTTTTTTTGACCGGTCTCTTACCTGATAGGACAGGGACTTCTTGTCAAGTTTGTCAAGAACGAAGCCGTCATTGAGGTCATCAGCTGACATGTGGATTTGCCTCTGTGTGTTATCCCTGACTTCATCTCCCATCATCCTCCTCAGACGGTCAGCCTGGGGGTGGATTTATATCAGGACTAGAATGAAGAATGTAGTAAAAATGACAACTGCAGAAAACATTTCAGCACTCTCACCTCCAGTTTCTGCAGCTTCTCCTTCTCCTCCTTGGCCAGCTCCTCTGGAGACTTCATCCTCTCTGATGGCTGAGCCTTCATCTCGAAGCCGAGCTCCCGGACCATCATGTCATATTCCTCCATCTGGAACATACAGAGGAAGCAAAGATCAGGGAAATCCCAGGCGGCTGTTGGTTGTGGTGAAGGATATCGGTGCTCCTACCTTCGGTTTCTCCTCTGGTTTGTCTTCTCGTTCAGATTTGGGTATGTTTTTCACCATCAGAGCCTGGATGCTTCTCCACTCCTGATCCAGCTTTTCAGTCATCTCCTGTGTTTCCTCTCTCTGCACCTGCCGTTCTCTCTGTGAACACAGCAAACTGTCAGTCCTGGGGAGCCACATCCTCTAGAACATCGCAACAACAAAAAAAGATAAATAAAAACAACAGCACAGGACAGGGTTGGCTGCTCACCTTCTCCAGCTTGGACTTCTGGATGAGCTCTTCAATCAGCTCCTGTCTGGACTTGGCTTTCAGGCTCCCCTGCTCTTCCTGCTGATCCCCTGACGCTTTCTTCCTGAGGAGGCCCCCGCCCCCTCCGAAATGCGAGGCAGTCAGTTCAGCTAGGTGAAAGAGGCACAAAAAAAAGTGACTAAAGGAAATTTAGCTTAATATTTTGACAAATGTACATGCATATATACTAAAGCATTACAATGATAACCTCAGGTTTTAGGCCTAATATACAATATGATGATGAACAATTGTAATTATTTTTAGTCCAGGCTCACCTGATAACAATCCTTTCTCTTCTGACTCATCATCGCTATTCACAGCGTCATTGAATTTCTCTATTTCGGCCAAGGACTGGCCGTAATGAGTCAGCTCTTCCTCCTCGTTCAGGTTGTAAACATCCTTCTTTTCATGGAAACGCTAAAAATCAACGCCAATAGAATAAAAGCTGCAAGTTTAGCATTTCTGTGCATGCGTTTTTAGTCAAATGCACAAAGACTGTGGTTTATTTGCTCCAGATGAATTATTATCACTTGTCACTTCCATGGAGGATGAAAACAATGAGGTTGGCTTTGACTTGTACATGTAAAGAACGGTCAATCAAACTAACAGAAAAGTATATTCACAGTGTCATTTAAGGGATTATTATTAAATTATCACTAACCTTCCTTTCTATGGCAAACCTCTGTAGGATTTTGTCTTCAGGCGCCATCTTAGCATCATACTCTCCAAGTCGTCGGTCAATGAATTTGTTGGACTTGTTTTTCTGTTTGTATTCCTTCAGCAGAGTCTCTTTCCTCTACAGGCAATAAAATAACAAACTATTATGAACAAAACAAATAAAATTTAGTTCTACTTGTGATTTTGTTTAGATACATGTAATATATGTTTTAAATTATTTTAAAATTTGGACCAAACTAAAAAAAGTGTTTTTTTTTTTTTACAAACTCTTAGTGCTACCACATTTCTGCATATATTTGTGAAAATAGAGAGACTACAAAGACATCGCACTTTTGAAAATGTAATTTCAATGAGCTCGTCAAAAGCTGAAAACAGCCCAGTAAGGCTGGAGACACGAGTCCTATGAAAAACAATTTACAACACATATGATGAGTTGAATAAAGATAAACTCAAAAACAAAATATTCAATGAAGCTGATCCACAGCGTTGATAAAGTTACATTTTCAAGCTGTTGAGCTGATCTATTAAACCCTCCTGCTGTCCTTGGGTCAAAATGACCCACAAGGTCTCAGTCTTACAACAGAGGGTCATTTTGACACAAAGCCAGCAGGAGAGTTTAATATTATGGCGACATGTGAGCTTTTCTTTTACCTTATTGATGGCTTTGGACCGAGACACCCCCGGGAGACCCACATCATGTTTGCCTTTTCTTCCAAGAACATCAAACTTCTTCCGGTTGATCTTCACCTCAAATGGGTTGTTTTTAATCACAGAGGATGTCTTGGTTTTGCGGACTTTGTCAGCGAGGCTCTTCTTCTTCTGTGGTGCCTTCCCCATCTGTACGGATCAACAAACAGATATCGATTTGTCTTATATGGACACAGAAAAAAATAATTTTGAGCTCCTTAATTATGTTAGAGAGCATAATCGGAACAACTTTACGTTTTATCACTAGCCACATAAAACAATGATAAGACTGATAACTTAACGTTCACCCTGGACTTCTACTAACACTCTCAATAGTTGGAGAAAAAAATAATAATTATAGACTGGAAACATTCTTAGAAAGAAAAAAAAAAATTAATTACTGAAAGTCAATATGGTTTCAGATCAAAGCAATCAACAACATATATTGAAAGCGATAGAGGAAATGACTGCTGCTGATAATAAAAAGTGCTGCTGGAGTGTTTGCTGATATTAAAAAAGGTTTTGATTAAATAAATCATGATATACTGTTAAAAAAGCTGGAAAAATACAGGATTAGAGGGACTGTGTTACAATGGGTTAGAAGTTATTTAAGTGGCAGACAACTGGGAAATGTGTGCATACAGTGTTTGGACATTGCTTGTGGGGTTCCACAGGGGTCAGTTTTGAGTCCTAAATTCTTTATAATGTATGTAAATGATATGAAATTTGTATTATTTGCCGATGATACAAATTTGATCTTAATTGGAGATACTCTGGAATAGTTGTTAAAATATATAATTGATGAAATTAGAAAAAGGTAAAAAAAATATGGTTTGATTGTAACAAATTGTCTTTAAATGTGAGCAAAACAAAAATAATGCTTTTTGGGAATTGTAAAACGGACAAGGAACTGAAAATATAGATAAATGAAGTAACTGTTGAAATGGTACATGAAGATAAATTTCTTGGTGTTATTATTGATAATAGGCTGAACTGGAAACCTGACATCAGATCTGTTCAAAGTAAAATATCAGACACAATTTCTATATTGAACAAAACTAAAGCACTCTTGATTCTGTGCAGTTCCTTAGTTGTACCATAGTTAATTTACTGTGCAAAGGTTCGGGGAAACAAGTAACAAAACACTAATAATAATACTCCTAAAAAGTTTAGAGTACTGGCAGTTAACAAGCCTGAGTATCTGGATCACACTAACCCACTATTTATACAATCAAAACTGCTAAAATGTATTGACATTGTGACAGTTCTAATGTGTGCTAAAAATATTCAAAACTATTTAAGACATGGGAATAAGTTTTTAAGTTAGGTATATGTCAATATCAAACAAAGATGACTAAAACAAGAAAAGGTTTGTGTGTGTGGTGAAGCTTTTGTTTGGAACAGGCTGAATATGAAACTCAGTCCAAACATGAAGAAGTTGATGAATCTCAGACTTTAATAATCATTATTATTGTTACTATCACCTATTGTCAAAGTTTATGTGACTGCACATTGTATGATTGTCCTAAGATAAATAGGACATTTTTGGCATTCACTTAATTATTGTATTTATTTATTACTGTTTATTTTTTGCTCATTTTTATGAATCAGAAGTGATGGGAATAAGGTGAAGGAGAAGGGGTGGGCTAATATAAGTTTATGCTTTGTCCCACTCCTTTGAACGTAGGAATATTGTATATTAGTACATGTTTCTATTATTTGTTGTTACGGTCAATACATTTTAGGAGAAAGAAACCTAAAACATTCACGCACGCAGCTAGTAAACATGGCTAACTTGACTAGCAGCTTGTAAACAAATAATTATCAGGAACAGGTTTACCTTTGAATCGTGCTGATTATTCGCCTTGTTAAATCCAGACGGAACAAATCTTAGGACAATAACGCTTTCTCGATTCTTATTTATTAAATAGTTCGCTATCCACGTTGTTTCACCCGGTTTCCATTTTCCAGCGTGCAGCGTTCGAGTTGTGTCACTTCCGGTCTGAGATTTCAAACAGCGCCTCTAGTGGTTGGAGGAAAACAACAATAATCCATCCCAATACATTATATTTTGAACTCTCTTTATGGGCATATTCTATATTTTTATATACAGTTTTTGTTCTTTTTATTGCAATCTTTCAAACGTTGTTAAATATAAAAGTGTAATAATTGAAATGGCTTTAATAGATTATATGGGGCATAATACAATGTAAAACATCCAGTGAGTCCCTCGCTTTCAGTTTTATTTTTGTGTGTGGAGGTTTTAAAGGCATTTTTACATTTTTATTCCACGTCCACTAGCTTTCCAATTATTAAAGTTTTAACATTAGGTCTTGCTTTCATATTTTTTCTCTCTCGCAAAGTTGCTTTTTTAAATGCTGCCAACTAGTTATTCTTAATCATAACCATGAGCACAGGGGTTACTGTGATTATTAATTTAAATTAAAAAAATATATATACTCAGTTCATATTCTTCTGACATAGTGATCGTGCCTTGAAGCTCCTAGATATCAAAATTTATACTTTACCTATTGAGACAAGAACTTGGTGAATATTTTCATGCTTCAATAATCTTGACGTTATCAAGATTTGAAACGATTGATCCCTTTTCTATAATTTTTCTGATCTAATGCATACACTTCACATGAAATGCTTTCACAACAAAGTGATTTAAGTAATTAAAAGTGTCCGAACTGTGATTAGAAGTTCACAAATTGAGGCTTTGCTACAGCAGCATAAATATTTTCCATGGATAATGTAATAATCACACATCAAGTTTTTCAGGGTTGTGTTTCTTTTTTATTCATGGTTGTAGAATGAATGTTAAACAAAACAATAAATGTGATAAATTAAGTCTGCAGATGAAATAATTATGAGACCTTTAAAGTGGAAGCAGTTTAGACAGAGGTTAAGAATTAGCATAGTTGTTAACATTAAAAAAGGATGGAAATAAAAAGAACGAGTTAGATAACTACTGAGACATAAATATATGGTATAATATTCAAGTTAAAACAATATTCAACAGGCGAGGTTAATGTCAGCACACAAAGTGCTTTGTACACAATCTTTCACAAGTTTTCAGCTCATATGAAGCACTCAAAGTCAAAAACAAGAGCCAATTTATTCAAGCGTTTCACTTGAATGCCATACTGCACATGAGGTTTTTGGTTCATTAAAATAAGAAGGTTAACCAAAACTCACAGAAACCGTCCTATTATTAATGCTCACAACCTCAAACTGAACTGGTTTCAAATGTCTTAACAGCAACTGAAACAGAAATGACTCTACTGTATATTGTCACAGCAAACATTCAGTTTTCATTTCTCATTAAAATATGGGTTAAAAGTTCTGAAACATAATTGATCATGTAATTACTTTCAAGTTCTTTATGACTGACTGCAACTAAACAAAATTCATGTGGTCTCGAGTTCCCAGATAGTGGTTTTTATACAGGAGCTATAGCTCAACCGAGTTTTTAAGAGTAAATTACACAATCAAAAACCAAATGAAGGATTTATCATTCACCTTATGATTTTCACATTGACAATGAGCGAAGACTAAAATGCAAAGCTGAATAAAAAAAATAAAAAAAAACACATTCCTCATACTAATGACTTAAAGTCACAGAGAAATGTATGAACTAATCTATGAACTACATGCTAAACCACAAAATCTTCTCCAGGTGTGCAGCAATGGAGAAAAAACATTTTCAATAGAGGTTTGTGAAATATTAGACAAAACAGTTCATGTGACCTAGTAATTAAAATTTAAAAAGTAACATTCAATGTTAAATGTTATGATTTAATTGGGAACGATTGAGATGATTTTCTCATGTTTAAAACCAAAAGTAAGCTAATTAGACCTCTCCTGCTGACATGAATTTCATGAGTGAACAGCTTTATGGGGTATAAATGAGCATTTTGTAGAGAATACCGTCAGACCTATGAGCTAAATACAAGTTTTTCTTCTGCAGTGTTTTATAAAGACACTTTTGACATGTTTAGATACAATCCTTTACATTCTAGTGGTTACCAGGATTAATTAAAAAATAAAGAGGGGTCAAATCCTCACATGTTGATCCGTAGTAATAGACATGCACAAAAGGCCAGACTGCATCACTCAACTGAAAGCTGCAATAGTTAAAAACCTTTGAGCAATCGTTTTTTTACAATGTATACAAAATTGGCACAAACTAATGAGACATAGGTTAATAAGCCTGCAGCAAATAAGGTCAAAAGAACGGAGCGTAAACGAGTTAGGTGTGGCTTGATTGAAGAGTGCCGTGACAAGACAAAAAGAAAAGAAAACCAAACAGATGCCAGCCTGCGAGACCCCTCCGTCATTCTCCAATCTTACGACTCTGACTTTTTTTTGTTTTTCTTTAGGAAGGAAGGAGTGCGGAACTTCTTTTTCTTTTTGGAGGGGGATTTACTGGGAGACTCCTCGCCGTCCTGGTCCCCGGCGTCGGCGGGTTCCTCCGCCTCAGCTGCTTCTGTGGAGGGAGGTGCAGGAGAGGCGGCGTCTTCGGCAGGAAGCGCTGGAGCTTCAGAGGGGTCGTCGGGTGTTAAATCTGGGAGGGTCTGTCTCAGGGTGGCTGCGTCGCTCTCATCCTTAAAGGTTTGTTCTGGCACGGACTCTGATGGGGGGAGGAAGGAGAGAGAGTTATTGATCTTGGAAGACAGACTGATGGATCGGATTATGAGACGGTTGAGTTGCCACAACTTGTAAAGTACGCTGCAAAATCCACAAAAAATTCTACTAGAAAAGCATCAAAGTGACAATTTGTTGTTGTTTTTTTTAAGCTGAAAACTACAGTGGCCCTAAGGTGTAAATGAACATTTGAAAAAACGGAATTACATTTGAAAAAACAACAAAAACAGCAAAATCACGATTTGAAAAAATGGAATTACATTAAGCCAAAGCGGAAGTGGCCAAAGCAGAAGTGGCCCGAATCACATTAGAGAAAATGGAATGACATTTGAAAAAATGGAATTACATTAAGCCAAACAGGGTTTTTTTTGTTGTTTTTTTTGTGTGTGTGTGTGTGGGGGGGGGGGGGGGTAGCCTGCTAACTGTATTTCCATTGTGTGTGTACTGTATTGTTCCGTTGTTCAGCTTTATGCTGCTAATAATAAATAAATAAAAACTTCCTGTTTGGCTTAATGTAATTTCGTTTTTTCCCCAATGTCATTCCGTTTTTTTCAAATGTGATTCCATTTTATCAAATGTTGTTGTGATTTTGTTGTGTTTTTTTTTTCAAATCTAATTCTGTTTTTTCAAATGTTGTTCATTTAGGGCCACTGTAGAAAATAGTCTTTTAGATTAAGTTCGTCACTTCTATAGGCAATATTCTCACAAAATATGTCCTACTCTAAAACAACGCACATGAAAAACACCGTTCCTTAGATTGAAGCCAAACCAAGACGCACTTTACTTCACAAAAACATAAATCTTTTCTTCACAGATACTGTAATAAAAAGCATAACAGAGTTCTCATTCATCAAGGTTTCTTCCTGTCAAAGTTCAAGCTGGTACAGAAGTTTTCATTTTACCTTCATTTATACAGGGAAATCTTAATGAGTGCAGTTCCCTTGCTCATTTGCACCCTGCGTACAAACAAAATCAAGTGAAACAGAACAAAGTGAAAGGCCTCAACATAAAAATGCACTTCCAAGTTTTAGAGGGTTTTGACAACAGGTGAGTCAAGAGGTAAAAGTAAATTTCAATATTAGAGCAGCTCTCATGAAGTTGTGAATTATCAGCTAAAGTCAAAAAATTCAAAATGAGCCTAATATATCTATTTTATAATGCCGAGTACAAACTTGGTTGTCATCTTTCAATGCTGTAAGAACATCCTGACTTAAAAAAAAAAGTACACCTGAGTATAGAAATACTGCACAAAAATGTTTTTTTTAAGAAGTGTCAGCAGTGATTTGGTTTAGCTTTTTATAGTTGTTTAAACAAACATAACTCAAATAGTAGAAAAAATTGTGTTTGGTTCATTTTTCTTTGTTGTAACAATGTACGTTTGCAAAGAGTTCTACGGTACATCATTAGAGAATCTGTTTCCCACCTTGAGTGGTGCCATATTTGTTAAGAAAAGGTATTTGTGGGTTGAGCAGCAGAGATGAGTATGTAGGTTGTGTTCATGAAAAACTTATTTTTGTCCCCACTATTGCCAAACAGCTCATTCTGCTATTGACTCTTATTTTGAGCTTCTGGTACTCCATGTGCCGGCAATCAGGTGCCTGATAATGAGCACCTGAGAGCAACCTTATACTGAACCCTATCCTCCAAAACAACACGTTCACCCTCAGAGCTGGGTTTATCAGAGACTACCTCCAGAATTTGCAAGTGAGAGGATGGATGGTCCCGTTTGCAGTCCTGACCTCGGTCCTCTGGGATCAGCTTGGACGTGCCGTTTGTTCCAGAGTGACCAGCACATCTACACTGGTTTCTAAAAATGCTGGTTGAAGAACAGGGCGCCATCCTACAACATGCATGTCCAAGCTGCTAAGCAGAATAAAGGTTCCCAGATGTTGAGGCTGTGTATGGTTCTTCCACATGCTCTTGAGGCCCATTTGTTAAATTAATAAATGGTTAAATTGACAATATGTATTATTTCTTCAAGCATCCAATCTAATAAACTCCAAACAAGAGTAAATGGCAGAATAAGCCGTTTGGTACTGGCAGAGAAGATTTGACAAGTTTTTCATGGGAGCAACCCACAAACTCAACTCTGCTGCTCAACCTACAAATGCATTTTTTAAAACATATGTGCCAACATTTAAAAGACAAATAAACAGACTTTCCAACTATATAGGATTTATTGCCAAAAAAAGCATAGTTACAACAACAAATTACTGACCCAACAAAAATGTCATTTTTTTGTGCCAAGTTTAGTTTAGTTTAGCGGAGAGCTTTAGCTGATGTTTGTTGATTTTTGGAGCTGCTCGTCTGTCTGCATGATTCAGCAAAAACTACCATACCACATTTGGTAATTAGGAGGAACAAATAAAGATATATCACTTTATTATTTAAAAATAAAAAAAACTCAGCTAAACGAGCTGCACCCAAAGTCATCTTTAGTAAAACGGCATCCAAAGGAAGGCTACAAGCTGCAACACCGTGCAGACCAATGCCAAACAACAACACCCGTTAACTCGTTTTAACACGACGTTCATGCGACAGAGACCAGTGTGAAACGAGACCTCAGGAAAAAGCACCACTTTCAGTTTTCACCTCGTCAGTCAGAACAGAGAAAAACTCGAACACCGCAGACAGAACACGAGACCAGTAAACACACAGCCAGGCTTCGACCAGGTTTCAAGCTGAACCAACAGCAGCCAGTTTGGTTAAAAAGCGTCACTCAAAAGCACCAATGTACCTGGTAAAGGACTCGCCTGCAGGACAGACAACAGTTCAACACCTTTTCAAACATTTTTCAAACGAGACACATCATCAACATTTATATAATGTGCTTTATGTGCAAGAGAAGTTAGTTGTAGTGAGTAGTTGTCAGGAGAGGTTATCTAATGCAAAGACCGAGTGAGGTGTGGGGTTTACTTCAGAAACAGGCTCCATTGTTTTACATGAAGTACCAAATCAGCTTAAGGGGTAGGAAAAAAGTTACAAGTATACAAATGTTTAGCCATTTTCCAGCTATGGTTGTGTGATTTTACCATTTATCGCTAATCCAAGTGACAGAGGTCAGGAGCTCTGAAATATCCCCCGCCAAACCCAGAGACAGAAATTTAGAGGAATCAAACCCCAACAAATACGTTAGTCCAGACAATAAACCAGCTACTGAAGCCATGCACAGAAATAAATAAATAAATGAGCAAGCGTGGAGGGTGACCAGTAATTAGGAGGGTGGCGAGGAGGTGGAACAGTACATACTTACTATGGCAACAGGTACTCTTTTGTATTTCCATCTCCTGATTGTAATCGCAGCCACAAAGAAAAAGCACAAGTAGAAACAAATGTCTATGCAGATTAAACCACAAGCACCACGTAAATTAAATTAAAAATGTGAGAGAAAAATAAATTCTGAAGACAAAAAAAGAAGAAGAAAATGTTGGGAACCATTCACAGTAGACCCCAAAACAGATGGAGAATGAAAAGGGAGTACATTTAATTTATTTATTTATTTTACAGAGGCAAAATGTTATAACACTCCTGAAATTAGATTACACCTGGGATTAAATAATCTCCTCAAACTGACTGCATCAAAGTTAACTGAATGCTGCTTATAAAACTTTGATTTTAAAGCCAGTTTTGGTATAATTAATGATAATGCTGCCAAAAGGTGTAATCCAATGGTAATAAAGACCAAGAGGAAGAATATCGTTTTCTTTTTCTCTAGTCCATACAACTTCTTGGACACATTTAGTTTTTCTTTCTGCTGCTCCCTGCTGCAGGAAGCGAATTCGAACCAGCAGCCTCAGGAGACTGCAGCCCTGACCTTCAATGCACAACAGATCTGGTAGACTATTTGCTCCAATATATTTTCACAGGTAATAATAAAAAAATCTAAACCTCTTGGCCTGTTATTACAAAGACAACAGTGTTATTAAAAAACACACAACAGACAGGCAGGAGGAGAGGCAGGAGATTTTATATTCCATTTGAAGATCCAAACAAGAACACAAGAGCCAAAACCAAGAGAACCCCATGCTAATCCAGGCAGAATCAGGCCAGAAGAAAATATTTCAGCCCAACATACCTTCCTCTGCTCTGATCGGGGAGCTCGGTGGCGTGGATGTGAGTTTAGGGCCTTTGGGCTCCTCCAAAGACTCAACTTGCTGCTCTGGATCTGAAAAAAAAACATTTGCTGTAAGGAACCATGTCCACATTAAATGTGAATCCTCCAGGAAGAAGTCATTAAAAAAAAAAAAACCTGAGAATGGCTACAATTTATTTGAGCCTAAAATGCATATAAAAAGCCACATTTAATAGACAATCTGTGTGAAAACACCAACGTGAAGACAAAAAAACCCCAAACCAGGAAAAAATTTAATTCAGCAACTGAAGCTATGCAAACTTATTTTAACTTCCCACTAAATCTGCTTGAGATAACATCCCTCAAATCACATAATATATCAATTAGAAGGGAAACATGACACTTACAAGACACAGGAAGGAAGCAGAACATCATTTGTTTTGTTGTTTTAGAGGGAAAGCAAACATCTCTCCTCTGCTCCATCCAATCAAACTACAGACTCTGACCTACCAGAGTTTTGATGCCTTTGGTCAAGACATAGGAGGCAGAGAACGAAGGTGAAAAAACACAAGCAAAGCCTTCAAAAATGAAATGTGGGTAAAGAAGGTGCTTGCACAACAAACAACACCAGCAGACTCCAAACCCTTGGAAAGAGCAAAGGAAACAGCAGGCAGGAATTCCCAGACTCCCGCAGGGAAGTGGTTGGTGTAAGACAGGCCAGGGCTGAGCAGGGAAGGAGGGGAGCTGAAGGCCAGAGCTTAAGCAAGACTTCTTCTATTGTACCTGGAGCCTGAACTTCCTGAGGTGCTTTTACATCTGCTTTCTCCTTGCTGAGGGTCAGCACATCTGGAGCTAAAAAGACCTCATCTGCAGGTGAAAAAACATCGTCTGCATCCACCTCTGCAGCGCCACGAGCTGGCTCAGGGCCTCCAGATGGGCTCTGAGAAGAAGGGCTCTGGGCATTCTCCAAGCCGGGGCTTGAACATAGAGGTGTGGAAACAGAGGTCTGACCAGTTGGCACCGTCTTCGTCTCTGACTTGACAACACTGGAGGTGGAGGCTGATCCTGTTTTACAACCGTCTCGTTGTTTTTTCACTGTGAATCCACGTTTGTGTAGAAAAACAAGGTTTGTCCAAACTGAACTGCACGTTGTTACTTAACATAAAGGTTGGTACTTTGAAAAGAAAATTAAACACCAATTTTACAAAAAATAAAAACTAATTTTAAAAAGGTATAAAGAGGTTAGTACATAGATCAAAATATTGCATCTTTATATTTCCTTTGTCTAGATAAGTAAAGATGGTAGTTTTCTAAAAAGCTATTTAAAACATATGATGAAAGACAAAATAGGGTAAGGTGATCATGTCAATTAGGAGATATAGAACAGCACACTTTTCTGTTTCTGCTCCTTAAAATTGAACCCAAAGGACTATAGAGATCCTAAAGTCACATATCCAATAACTGTTGTGTCTTCAAATTGTAAAAAAAACAAAAAACAATGGAAATGTATTTATTATATGTTAAATTACAAAGTAAAACAGTTATTTCTGGATTTCATTAATACTAAAAACCCAGTGTGAAATATTTGAGAGATCTGAGAACTTTAAATGATTGGAGGCTTGACAGAACACTGAAAACTCAAAGACCTTATTATAAGAATAGTTACAATAATATAATAATTAACCTTGTTCACTCTGCTTTGTTACTTGTACCTTCAACTCCTTTCTGTTTCAGCTCCACCTCCCGGCGGTACTCCTCCAGCTCCTGGTCGGTGAGTTTGTTGAAGGGGTTGGGACCAGTCTTGCTGACAATAACCTTGGGCTGGTACTCCTTCTCAATGATGGCCTTGGATGCAGTCACAAGCTCGCCCTTCAGGACACAGAAAAACAAAGAACTGGACATTAATGGGGGTGAAAGGCTCAGTGAAAGCCAAACAGAATATTTTATCTGCAGAAAAGTGGCTGCAGGGCCAGCAGCTGAAGGCAGGAAAAAAGTTTGAAAAGTGTCTGACAGACACACACACTGCCTAATTCCTATGCATTTTTATAATATAATGACAAGTTTAGGGGAAAAATTATATCCACAGCACTGAGCACTAAGTATTACTGATTTTAAAAACTTGGCTGATGCAGTTAAAAACAAAATTTTGACAAAACACCATTTAAAAAAATAATCAAAAGGTGGTTATAAAACCATAAAAAAAATAAATCCATAAATCACTAAGCAAAGAAAAGAAGCGATGAGGGAGTTTAGACAGCCTCAAAAAACAAAATCATTTTATCAAACCACTTGTTTTTTCCCCTTCGTCCAAGTTTCTTGCAGTAACTTTGAAACACCAAATCACTGACGGGTTTTAAAGCAGTTCTAGTCAAATTCAAGCTCTGACAGAAACTTAATGTTTCTAAATAATGCACATAAATGGCATTTACAAAATAACAAAAACAAAGACACAGTAAGGATTAAAACCTGCACAAGATGGAAAAAGTATTTACTGATCAAAGTCCCAGCAGCAACACATCCTGAACATCAGTGTCAACTTCAAATACAAACAGTAACAATGTTTGGGTTAGCCTAAATGCATCCAAAGGCTCTAATAAACCAGAAGAAAAGGAAGTCGCCTAATCTGCCTCTTCAATTAGGGATTGAACTTTTTCCAACATATAAATTACAACAGATTTGTTTTCAATACACAAAAACAAAAAGTCTCCTTAGGTCAGCTGTGACAAGCGTGTCCAAGTAGTTGCTGCGCATACTATAAAATTAAAGGAAGACAACACAGTAAGTACCTTTCTAATTGATTTAGCAGGACTATAGGACCCCTCGGACACATCGAGGCCATCAATAGTGTCTGTACAGTCAGACAGAGGGGCATCCTGCAATAGCAAACCCAGGGAAGGGAGGGGGGCACAACTGAGCACAGTCATTAGCAGTCATGGACGTCGATACACACTCACACACACAAAGGGGGAAAGAGTACTAAAAAAAATCAAATTTCAGAAACGATCATTTCAAAAATCCTTAAGCAGGCTTAAAACAAACTTTAGAACAAAGATCTTAGATTGTTGGGGTTTTTTTTTGTAAGTGAACAAAATTCAACACAGTATAGTTCTGCCATTTCTTCTTTCAGCTGTCTTTGCGTGTGATGACTTTCCACCACAGCATTTATACAAACATCCACTGAAACACGGGAAGTGCATGCAGAGAGGTGGCTCAGGGAAAAGACGAGTTATGAGAAGCACGGCAGCGATGGAATCAATAACCATGAGCATGCACTTTTAGAAGGCAAACAACCAAAACAAGCAGGTGCTGTACTGAAAGGAGGATTCATTTTTCTATTCAAGGCAACACTTTCGGCACCTTCATGAAACTAGACCCATCGCGATCGACAATAAATCAATTAATCGCATGATAAATGCAAATTATCAACCTCATTTTCATTTATCGGCTTTATTGTTTCTTCGTGTCTCTCTCTTTCTACTGAAGACACTGGAAGACAAAAGGCTCAACTCCGGTGCTCTTCACTAAACCCTCCCTTTCTCGTTTCTCTTTAAAATCTGTTTTAACTGTCCAAAATCGTGTTTTTGGATCGTTAAAAGCAGCTAAGCTGAGAAGCTAAGCTACAAGCTAAGCTAACAGGCCGACCTCGGGGAAAAAAACCCGTCTTGTTGAAGCTCCAAAATTCACGGTTGAAATCCGTACCATCAAGTAAAAAGTTGTTTTTCTCTGCAAAAAAAAAAGTTGAGAACTTGTTTACTGATAACTAAAAAAGTCCAGACTGAAAATTGTTGGATTGTTTAGTGATATTTTATTAAAAGCTTTGTGTGGAAAAACACTATGCTAAAGAGCTCAAACCATAACGAGTATCCGCCATTTTGAGAACCAAAAAAAAAAGTGAGACAAAAAAAGTAAGGAGAGACAGCCCATGTCACGTCAATGGGGCTCCCTCCCATTTTTCTTGAGACGCACTGCTCGCTCCCTCAAGTATGATGCTTCCACCCCCATGCTTCACATTAGGGATGGTGTTTTTGGGATGGTACTCATCATTCTTCGTCCTCCAAACACGGCAAGTGGAATTAAGACCATAAAGTTTTATTTTGGTCTCATCTGACCACATAACTTTCTCTCATGACTCCTCTGGATCATCCAAATGGTCATGGGCAAACTTAAGATGGGCCTGGACGTGTGCTGGTTTAACCAGGGGAACCTTCCGTGCCATGCATTATTTTAAACTATGACATCTTAGTGTATTACCCACAGTAACCATGGAAACAGTGGTGCCAGCTCTCTTCAAGTCATTGACCAGCTCCTCTCGTGTAGTTCTGGGCTGATTCCTCACCTTTCTTAGGATCACTAATACGCCACGAGGTGAGATCTTGCATGGAGCCCCAGTCCGAGGGAGATTGACAGTCATGTTTAGCTTCTTCCATTTTCTAATAATGGCTCCAACAGTTGATCTTTTTTCACCAAGCTGCTTGGCAATTGCCCCGTAGCCCTTTCCAGCATGTGAAGGTCTACAATTTTGTCTCCGGTGTCTTTGGACAGCTCTTTGGTCTTAGCCATGTTAGTAGTTGGAGTCTTACTGATTGTGTGAGGTGGACAGGTGTCTTTATGCAGCCATCGACCTCAAACAGGTGCTTCTAATTTAGAATAAGTGGAGTGGAGGTGGACTTTTTAAAGGCAGACTAACAGGTCTTTGAGGGCCAGAATTGTTACTGATCTGCAGGTGTTCAAATACTTATTTGCAGCAGTAACACACAAATAAATTATTTTAAAAAAATCATAAATTGTGATTTCTGGATTTTTTTTTATTTAGATTATGTCTCTCACAGTGGACATGCACCTAAGATGAAAATTTCAGACCCCTCCATGATTTCTAAGTGGGAGAACTTGCAAAGTTGCAGGGTGTTCAAATACTTATTTTCCTCATTGTATTGTCAAATTTCAAACAATATTATCGCTTATCGCAATAATTTCAGAGGCAATTAATCGCCCAGCAAAATTTGTTATCGTGACAGGCCTACGTGAAACTTGCTCACGTTAATGACGATTAGGTAAACATTACCCTCGTCCAGTTCCTTTTAGTTTTGGATGAAATCGCTCCAAGTTTATCTACCGCACTGCAACAACTGCAAAAAACTTCCACACACTCAAGGGCGGTGAGTCGTGCAAAAACAACCTCAGAGCATGATTTTACTTGTTACGCACTTCCTCCCCACAGAAAAAAAAAAATATATATATATATATTTGGCACATGCAAAAGATGCAAGCAGTTGTTTACAATGGATTTGGTTTAGTATTTCAAAACTCCAAAATCCTCAGGTTGCAAATGTTGCCGTTACACCAAACAATAAATAAAAACTAAATTGGCTAACTCAATAAAACAATGTATGAACATGAACTGAGCCTGAGCTGGCAGGTTTGGAGAGCACAGGACCATTACCTCCGTCATAAACTACTCACCTGCAAGAACGACAACCTCTGTGATCAAAAAATAATGTCATTGTTACAAATGTCCTTCAACAATAAAGAGGACATCTTTATGTTTTTTTTAGATGCTAATTGGTTTTAAATAAGATTAAAATTAATACATTTATTGCATAATTTTACACAGGACCCAGTTTCCAGAACATGTTCATGCACAGTAATGGCTCATTGCAGGATCTGGGTTTTAGGGGGTTTCTCCAGACCTGGACTGAACATAATAAATTACAGTATTTTTTTGGACTATAAGGCACCCTTAAAATCATTCAATTTTCTCAAAACTCAACAGTGAGCCTTATAATCCAGTGTGCCTTATGTATTAATTCTGGTTGTGCTTATTGACCTAGAAACAATTTTATGTGGTACACGGTGCTCAAAAATCTGTCGAAGTGTTTTAGTTTTGCTTAATGCGCCTTATAGTCCGAAAAATATGGTATCTGGTTTTAAGTGAATTCAACATGTAAAACACAGATTTTTCATTAGAATGACATGTATTCAACTCCAGGTCAGGAAAGTTGAAGCAGCAAGGCATGAAGGTGCAGAGTCCACAGACTGACCTGGTTGTAGGTTCGTTCCACCACAGTGCCGACACACAGAACTTGAGACTGGGGTCCTGCTGTCTTTATGTCCTGCAGGTTCTGCTCCCGGATCTACAAAGGATTATAAAAGCAGATGGGTCAAAATGCTTTTAAGTGCATTGGATATTCAGAAAATTTTAAATATCAAGTCATCACCAAAGAAATCCAATAAAGGCAGTGATACCTTATTCCTCATTTCCAGGACTTCCTTTGGGTTAGTGTTCAATGGAATGAACTGATTGGCTGCTGCAGCCTGGCGGAGCCCGTCTTCCTTTGTCCACTGTAAATATCACGTAAAGTGTGAACATAAACAGCTAAAATCAGAAATGCATGAAAAGCCCAAGCACAAAAAGATACTTATACAATGCAGGCTTCACAACACAAGATTCATGCAAAAAATAAAAAAAAATTAACAAAAGTTGGATGACTGTTCATGTTTGGTTTGAGTAAGGTTTGAATCTAAAAAAGTAACCCAATGATGATGAGACGCGTTCAGGAACCCTGTTGTGAGAAAAATCGCTAATTTGATAAAGAAGGTTCACAAGTTTAAGTGTTTAGAAATGGTACTTTACAAATGTTTTCAAAATATTTGAGTTTGTTATCTGGCAACGGTTTGGATTTGGCAATTTTCTGTAAACTGGGCCTCAAGAAAATTGTCACAACAAGTAGCAGCCCCATTAATTAGTTGAACCATCTGAACCACTACTGAGAATATTTTAAACTTGGTATGTCCACTGATCCACACACAGTAATGGAAAAGGGGAAATAAACCTGCTGCTAAGCAAATTAGTGTGTTCTTAAATTAATACAATTTTATATGACAAAAAAGTACAAAGTGAAGAAAAAAATTGCATTTACTGTTGCAAGATTTTTCTTGTTGGTGTGGACAACCCATGATAAAAAAAAATCTTGAGACTTGACTAAAATTAATCCTCTCTCGCTCTCGAAGACGGATGCTCTCTTCCCTTCTCCTGCCTCCCCTCCTGCTTTTGCTCTTGTCCTGTCAACCTCAGAGCCTCTCTTTAAACATCTTCTGAATTGAACATTTATTATGGATCTGGTCAGCTGGTCTATCAATGCAACTGATAAAATTTTCTCGACTAGAAGACGGTGCAGGAGAACCCTCATGCCCTGAAGAGGCACACGCAGCTGGATATGTCATGGATTCCTGGGGCGTGTGGAAGATAATGTGCCTGTCTGTGCTGTCTGTTGAGGACGTAGAAGGTACATAATTGGATTTATGGTAACAGGGTTTCTGCTTTTTGGAATTGGTGGATGCTTGGGATATCGACTAATAGGAAGACGTCAGCAGCAGTTTCAGCAATAGTAAAGCTGCATGCCTTGTATGAAGGATTACTCCGTGTTTCAAGCTCTCAGACTAATATGCTTTGCGAGCTGAACTGTAAGCTGGACGCAATTTCTGAGAATCATGAGCCATTTGTAGCTCCTAGGACTCGCTGACATGAAGGAATCGACCTTGAAGAAGGCTAACAAGCACAGACCGGCAGAATGTCCACATATCTGGATTTGCCATAGAGTGTACCAGCAGAACTGAAGGCAGACATAAAAACAATTGTTATCTGAATCTGGCCTCCCTGCTGGCCTTGGATAGGCCAACTTATCTCAAATTGCTCTTGGTGGATACATAAATTAAGAAGCTTTAATTATTAAGGCGGCCACAGCTCATCGATCTTTGCCAGAATTGTGTTTTTCTATAAGTTAGTCACTTTTATAGATGCTGAGCTATAATTTGGTGTGGTGAAAACAGAGTTTCATTCTTATCATAAACCACAAGCATTAACAGATGGCACATGATTTCTGTTTAAAACTTGCACACAAGGTCACAGGTGATTTGAATGCCTACTAGGAAAGATAATGGTTTACCCATATTTTAAATTGGGATAACGTTCAGAACTTATCTCTAAGCAATGATATTTTTTTAAATAAATTTTCATTGACAGAATCAGCCATAAAAGTTTAAAAATAAATAAAAATGCATCTGACAAGTGTCACTTTATGTTTTCCTTGTTAATTCACTTCTTTTTTTTTTGCATTGAGCTGCATTTGTTTAGGGTCTTCAAAAACGCTTGTGGGTGCAACTACCTGAATCTGTTACTTTTATTTTAATGTTTTGAGCAGTTAAAAATTTTATCCTACAATACTACGAACATAATAAACTTTGTTGCAGAAATGTATTTTACGATGAGAAGTAAAGCTTGTGTGCCAGGTAATCAATGAGAACATGATTTTTTTTTTAATTCAAGAACATCAGAAGTGTCCTTACTTCCTCACAAGTAAATTAAAAAAGATACAAACAGAACACGACGACAGATAAATGAGTAAGATGGAAGAAAGTACAAATTAATATATTTATATTTGTCATCATCATTGACGTACTGTTTGAATTAAACACAACTGAAGATCAAGTGAAAACATTCAAGAGTGAGGAACAAAAAGGGTAAGGCGGGGAGAGGTGAGTGGTGGGGTAGAAGTGAACGATGGCTGAGTGGGTGGGTGGCAGAGACGATGAGGCTGGCTTACGAAGCGAGAGTGGCAGTGAGGGGTGAGCTGGCATCACCAAAGTCATTTTCCAGGCTGATACACAACAAGGACAGAGATAAGAGAGAAACACCCAAGAAAGCATGGCCATTTTGGGACAACACTGCCAACGAATGTTTCTGTAGAGGATGAAGTCTTTTACACGCCTCTTTCCCTTAAAGAGCAACTTTTCTAAAAAGTGCTCGTTTTTGTGAACCTGGTAATGCTCAGCACAAATAAAGGAAATATGTCAACAATTTATTGCATAATATGAGCAGCAGATGGAGATAATACACAAACCATGCAAAATTATTATTTTTTTTTTTTAAACTGTAAACTTGCAGTGGAACAAGTAAGCTCATGATTAAATTTTAGTGTTTACTCCAATGGTTTTAGGTTAGCTGCCAAAGCAGGGATCAAAATGAGGACGGGGTACTGGATGGGAATAGCAGGGTTGGGCTGGTTGTGTATGAAATGAACACGTAAACACGATATACTCACTGAGAGAGTCACTACAAAACACTTCCTACTTTCCCAACAGGAAATTCAAAGGTCAGGTCAAATGGTTATTTATTTATTTCCTCATTTTTTGTTTTCTTCTTTTGAAACAAATCAATTGATGCAAACGTAAAAGTGCTTAAAGCCACTTTGGAATTAAAACTGAAGCCAGAAATTAAGAGAAAATAATAAAGAGGCAACACAAGCGCACATATATTAGTAGTTGCAGGTTTTTGGAGAAATTTTTAAAAAGCAAGCTGCAGAACTTTAGCCAAATAAATTTTCACTTTTATGCATCATACGCGTTTTATCTGACAAAATCTTAAAAATAAAACATTTTCTGAGGCATGCTACTTTTTTTTTTCTTTTTCTTTCTTTAAGCCAAAACTATAAAGCCTATGAAGTCGTGCGGCGTGCGTCTCTGGCAAATATGGCCTTAGATCACCTAATCCTTCACCAATTAATCGGACGCTTTTTTTAAAAGCAACAAAGTAAGCCAACATCAAGATGCAAAAGAGAAACCAAAGTGTTAAGGGGACGGGATGCAGTTGTGTGGTCCTGTTTGAGGACTCGTGCCACACCCCTGCTGCTTGCTCTTCTGGGAAGAACATCAACACTAACAATGTAGAGATGCACAATATTATTGGCAAGGTATCGGTATCGGACGATATTTGTGATAAAGTTAAATATCGGACATCGGCCATTCCATCAAAATAACTCGCCGATATAAAATACGCCGTTTTTGTATGACAACCCATTGACAATGATGCCTGCAGCGCCAGCACGTTATGATGTCATGTGCGCCTACCTGATCTGATCACGGCGAAGAGGATGAAGTCTAAATGTCGGCGGTGTGGAAGGTTTTTTTTTCCGTTGAGGATGTCTGATTCCGAAGATTTTTGGACTACGTTGAGCCTCGCTACATCATCTCCAGTCAGAGATATTTTTCCGACGTAGCCTTCCCTGAGTTACAAGCTGTCATTGAGAAGCTAATAGCTGATAGCACTTAAGTGAGTTTTACCACAGACATTTGGACGTCAAGTGTTAGCCCCGTTAGCATGATTAGTCTTACGGAACAATGGATAGACAAAACCTTTGAACTTTAAAAAGGTTGTCCTTCATGCACAAGAGTGCAGAGGATCCCACACTGCAGCTAGGAACCTGGAACAAGCCTCCACAAGTGAGACAGCATCGAAGGTGATTAATAATAATATCACATTGTCATCACTGTATGTTTCCATACAATGGCGAAATTAGTCTCTGCATTTAACCCATCCACCACCAGGTGGTTCAGTGGGCAGCTATTGAAGGTGCCGGGGGGGGGGGGGGGGATTTTGGGGATAGGGTGTGCTGCCCAGAGACACCACAAGGTATGCAGTGACCGGGGATCGAACCTGAGACTTTCGGGTCCTGAGCCGGCTGCCCTGCCTCTACACGATCTCAGCCCCCATTAATGCTAATAAATAACATTTAACACTTTTCATTTAATATAAGTTAAAGTGCTATGCATATCATATGGCTGTTACTAAATATATGTCACCAGTTCTTACAGCTGTTACACAATTTTTGTAGCAAATAAGCCTAAATAAGACGGCTATGTTCTGACAAAGGAAAGTATATTAAAAATATCGGTATCAGTATCAGCCAAATAAGTTTTAACATATCGGCATATTGGATATCAGCCAAAAATCCAATATTGTGCATCCCTACAACAATGCATTTCACTTCTACACATGCAAGTGCAGGCATGCTCTGGGCAGCTGGCCTGGCATCATAAAGCTTCATGGGCCCAAAGAGAACAAAGATTAAAGAGTCTATGAATAATCAGATGTGATACATTTAATAAAATTAGAAAGGTGGTTTAGTAGGGCGAGTGAAGTTACAGAATAATTGAGCCGAGGATGAGACGGTGGCTCAGCAGCACTTTAAGGTTCAAAACGTTTTTATTTGGAAAACCATTTGAACATCTTTAATTCAGACCCTCAGGATGCCGACCAACTGCCCATTTCCACCAACAAAGTAGCTGTAAATTCTATACTATGAACAGTAAGGTAGGCACAGACCAAGCAGTTGGTTATACAGCTTGGCACGCAGACACCGGACGAGAGAGACTGCAGCAAGGGTTTGACGTGATCGTGTGTTATGTTCGTCCACACCTTAGGCTTCGACTTGGGGCTGGTGCTGTCGGGCCCGTCCTCATAGGGCTCATCGGGCCGGCCGCTAGCATTAAGCCAGCGGGTCTTGTCACGCTGGCCGCGCTGGAAGCTGTGTTTCAGTGGGGAGCGAGCGCCTGAGTCACTGTCCTCCCCATATGAGTAACCACCGTGGGTGGAGGAGGCGAGCTCCACGTCACTGTACTTTTTACCTTTGTCTCGCAGTGCCGGGCAGCGGTAAGGATAGCCTGTCCTGTAGCCCTAAAAACAAAAAGACCAACAGTAACATTTTGAAAACAATTAAAAGTAAAAATGTATATGGTTAGACTACATCATTTCCCTCAACATCAAGAAGCTTACCGTTTCCTTTCTTTCACCGTCAACCAGGACTTTTGTTTATCAATATCTGTAATCTATTCTTAATGTAACGGTGGCACATAGGTGCTTTGACATTTTAAACTTGCTTTTCAATGTCAGAAATCATTATGAAGATATAAAAAGAATATTTATCCTGTGGCATTTCTGATACTAGGCTCAACGGGTTTATGGAATATAATTCATGATCTGAGAAACAAAACTGCAGTTTGAGTTTAAAGCATAAATAATTGGTGAGCAAGCTAAGTGAATAAAACAAACTGTTTTAAGGCAGCACAACTTATCACTAATTATTGACCAACTTTGTTGTACACTTTCATTTACGTTAAAAGAAAAAAAAAATTCCAAACGAGATTTGTTTCTTGATCCATGTCTTGGCGAGACTAATGCCACTGATCAAGTAAAAACCTTGTCCCAGAACAAAACAATTATCTTTGTCTTTACCAAATTGTCAAGCATCCTCATGAGAGCCTCAAACTCCTGCTCCCCAATTTGCCACTTGGGATGGGTTGAGGACCCGTCAACAGCCGGCTCAGGAACCCGGGGACGGGACTTATACTTTGCAGGGTCCAGCATCACCAGATTGTCTGGCCCTCCAGCGCTGGCCAGTGTTCGCACCTGGAAAATATTAAGGAGGTATACAAACAGACAGCACACACACAGATCCAGAAATAAATAGAAAAGTGAGGAACAAGACGACACACAAACATAAAACACAAAAACAAAAAACATTTACAAAGATGGAAAGACAAAAGACACAAAGGAACTTGTTATGAAAGATCCAGACAGACAATGATAAATAACCCAAAAAGTGATGGTTTGACAAAACTGTCTTTATGTCTAATAATTCAGAGGAAGTTGACCTTATAAAACTCAAGAGTGTCCTACCTGGATCTCGCAGGCAGTCACCAGGTTGTGAATGTAATAAAAAGCCTCCTCCACAGTTTCTCCTAAAGTCAACAAGCCATGGTTCCTTAGGATTAGAACCTGAAACCAAGAACAACAATAAGCCTCAACTGCCATACTACTATTCATTTTGTCATTTTCTCTTTCCCACACAGCCATTACCTTGCTCTTAGGTCCAAGATTTTTCTGTATAAGACCTTTTTCCTCTTCATCCACCAGAATGCCGTGGTAGTCATGATAGCTCACCTCACCCAGGGACAGTGCCTCAGGTGAGACGGGTAACAGCCCACATTTCATGGCTGACACCTGTGATCAAACAAACAGGCTTGTGCTACATTTTCCCCAGTAATGATTTCCTTAGCTGTCCTGTTAAATTAGTTTCCCTTACCGCAGCGCCTGCCGCGGTGTGTATATGTACAACAGACTTGACATCGGGTCGTGCAGCGTAGATGGCAGAGTGGAGGAGGAAGCCGGCCTTGTTGACCCCCAGGTTAGTGCTTCCTCGGTCCACTATCTCACCTTCGATGTTTATCTTCACCTGCAGGGTAATGTAACGCAAACCATTAATCAGGCACATTTTATGTCCAACACAAATATCAAAAACATTTCACAAAAGCAAAATGGTAAGACACGTTAAGTTTAGCTGTTGTTTTTAAAAGTCTTGGTGCTCTATTAAAAATTCTGGACTGATTCTTACCAGACTAGAAGCAGTGACTTCACTGTAAAGGAGCCCAAAGGGGACGATAAGGAAGCGCTCCTGCTCAGAGTTCACTCTGACCTGCAGCACAACAGAAACGATTCACATTAAAGTGAACTAAATTAATCGTAACAGAACGTCTTTAAAATTCACACAAACTTGATCGAAAATGAATAAATAGCAATTACAATGCAAATATGCAGCCCTTGTCGTTTTTGTGTTTTTACAATGGATGAAAAGTAGCAGCAAAAATAGATATTTTATAGCCCCAAGAATAGTAAAGGACAAACAAATTTCCACAAGTAATTAATTTAAATACAATATCCTCTAAAAAAATAATAAAATAGCCTTTTAATTTTGCAATCTGTGTATAAAATAAAAGAATGAGAGGCTAAAGATGGGAAACATGAACATGTTAATAACTCATTAATAAAGCTAATAACGGAGCTTCAGCCACTTTGTGTGCACCAAACTTTTGAAAGGCTGCAAAAATGTTGTAAATTCAGCAGGAATTAGAAGAGCATGGCTACTTCTCTAGTTTTTTTTTACATTTAAATATGTATATGGATTTTGAAGAATGCTCAAGATTATAACAGTTAGAAAATGTATACAAAGTTTTTTCCCTTTCTTTTTAAAATGAACTCTGAGAAACAAACATGCTCCTCTAATGAAAATGTTAATTTACGCTCAGCATTTTTGCTCATCGCTAAGAGTCTCATTCTAAATTCATCAAGTCTCATTTATAGAACATATTTTAACTAAAATTAATCAAAACAAAACTTTACAAAACTGATTTTTTGTTAAATGTCAAAAACTTTGCATGTCATTGCAAACCAACTAAAGCCTACATTGAACTTTCCAATTTGCCTTAGGAAGCTACTGAAAGACATCTTTCAGGATACGGTAATTTTTATGCATTTATTTATTTTTTTTAATCAGGAGCGGGTGATCTTACTGTGATGTGGTTGTAGATGAGCTCAGACCAGCCAAACAAGTCAGCGAGTCGATAAAATGCAGCCAGCTTGCAGCGGAGCAGCTTCTCGCCCTTTTCATAGGAAATGGAGTCAGAGCCTCGCAGATCATTGACAGGAGTTACCATTCCCAAACCTGAAGGAAGAGATAAGAGTCACACAATAGAACTATTTTAAGTGCAGGATCTAAGAAGATAATACTTCAACTAGTTAGGAAGCAAAAAGGTTTTACAGATTTAAATGCACTAGTTTATGAAGAAAACCCTTTCGTGCACATTCCTTGCAAACAATCGAAATAAATCTAATTTACAAACAAGAACACAGAGGTCTGCTTCCTGAAAAATGACTGGAATCTTTGTCCTTAAATTAACTCTGGCTTCTGCTGCATTACTCATGGTGAGAGCAGGCAAAGCAGAGCCGAGGTCAAAAAGTCACAGACACTCGTTCTTTTTTTCTGCTTACTCATGTTGAGCGCTGCCATGCCTCCTTGCGGTGCAGCAGGGTACATGGAGGGCATGCTGGTGGTCATGAAGTCTGCAATCTGCTGCAAGGCCAACAGGCTCGTGGGCGTCTTCCCCTTCTTCAGCTGATCCTGGATCATGGTCTCCAGCTCTTCACAAAATGCCTGCCAGTCATCACAGACAAAATAAACAAAAGACTTTTCCAAACTGTTTTTAAGATTTTAAGTGTTGTATTTTCAAATATTTTCAGCACTGACAAAGAAAGTTAATAAAGAACAAAAGGGTATCAGTCATAAAATAAAGCATAAAGAAAAGGTGACGCTGCATTTTGAGAGTTAAAATGATCCATCGACTCATTTGTACAGAGAAAACCTCCACATACCGGGCTCTGTAGAATCATGGAGACCCTCTTCTTCTGCTCCATCATATTGAAGTCCTGTCTCAGGTCAGGAGCCATGTTTCTCTCCCTCTGGTACTCTGGATTGCTCTCATCCACTCGGTCAAAGTACCGCTCTTTGTGTGGGGCTGTGGTGGGAGGGGGCACCGTCACCACCCCGGCACCAGAATCACCGTTCATCCTGGTTAGACCTCCTGCAGCACGGAGAAGAAGAGAACTGTGAACATGTTCTAATGCTGGAAAACCACACTAATATGAAAACGTGGGAGAGTTTCACGTAGTCTCAATAATCAAGTTAACAGCTTCAATATTCAATGCCGCCCATTAGAACTGAATTACTGTACCTTTATTCAGTAGGTGGAGATCTATGAATATAATAATCTACTGAAATCCACTTCACCAAGGGAACATCATAAAAATTCAACAACTGAAAGAGACGTTATAGATTTACATTCTGCTGCTTTCAACATTATTAAATGTTAAAAATTCACTACCATCAAGAGGAGTCATGCTGTGACAGTTAAATTGACTGGATGTCCACAGAGAAGCAGCTGCCTCTTGAGGTAGCTGATAAGCTAACCAGAAGCTCGTCTTCCAGGAGTTTGCACATCTGACAGCTCAGAGTTGCTTCTGACATCTCGTGTGCCACTTTGCTTCTTTGTTTGTGCTAGCTTTAATTACACATGGTTGCTCACAGTGAATATTAACACTAAAGCCACTGCCTACTACAAGTATAAGCAGGACATAAAGGCTGCAGATCTTTCCCTTTGAAACTGTCAGCAGCACTCTGCAGATTCAAAGCAGAACTTCTCAGGTGCAACAGATTGTGTTTGTCATAAACATCTAAAGAACATGTTTCCAAAATGAAAAGCTCATGTTTTCACTGAGGAGGACATCAGAAGAAAGAGAGACTGTAGGAAACATTTGTTAATAAAAGTCACTCCCCTACGTCCTGCCAGTCATGTGACTGCTCTTCCTGGTTCATAGAGGTTGTTATCGATTTTCACAGTGTGTTTCCTGGAATCAAAACACCACTCGAATGTGAATAACAAAGGGGAGAAAAAATACATCAGCTAGAAACTGATCTCTCAAAGAAATTAAAATGTTTATTGCCAACTCTATTGGCTTTGTTTGTTACTGCAAAAGCATCATATTTCCTGGATCAGCTAGTACAATACAATCAACCCACAAAAAAAAAAAAAAAAAATCTAAAAACATCTAAAAATTTCCAGAAGAAACAAAAGATTGATGGTAATGAACTGGACTGTCAGGATCATAAGCAGATCAGCGGTCTCTACTGGTCTATCACAACTCAGGCAACTCAATCTTCGACTGCAGCAGGACACATTTCGACTGAACAAGAATAACAGCGTCTGCAAGTCTTCAAACAGGGTGGTGCTCTGCAGAAACTGATGCAGCCCATTAGACTGCATCTATACAAATGTCCAGCCACAACGCCCATGACAACTGCTGCATGAACTCCAAGCACGCAGCTCCACACTGGGAGCCGACGGATCCCCTCAGAGTTTCTGTTCTGAGATTTCCCACAACAACAAAACATTTTCACAGACCTCGGACTTCAAGCTTGGGATTTGGGGTTTGCATTGCATTCATGTTGGTACAGATCAATAATGTGTGCTTCTTGTCTTATAACAAAGCTAAAGTGAAATCTACACAAATTAGAGCTTTACCTTTTAGAATGACGGGGTTAGCTGTGCAGCACACAGACAAGATATGTTGTCTTCAATAAAAGTCTATTTGGAAGGACATTTGCATAAAAAACTTAAGACAAATAGGCCTGTCGCAATAAACAAATCAATTTAACGCATGATAAATGAATATTAATCAACCTCATTTTCATTTATCATCTTTATCGTGTCTTCGTGTCTCTCTTTTTCTACTGGAAACTGGATGACAAAAGGCTCAATTCTGGTGCTCTTCACAGACCCCCCCCTTCTCTTTAAAATCCGTTTTAACCGTCTAAAATCGCTTTTTTGGATCATTAAAAGCAGCTAAGCTGAGAAGCTAAGCTAACAGGCCGACCTCGAGGAAAAAAAACATCTTGTCGAAGCTTTAAAATTCATGGTTGAAACCCGTGCCTGTGTAAAAAGTTGTTTTTCTGTGCAAAAAGAAGCCAAGAACTTGTTTAATTTTTTTTTAATTAAAAGCTTTGTGTGAAAAATGCTATGCTAACGAGCTCAAACCACACAGATTGCCGCCATTTTGAGAACCGAATTACAGGAATGAGAGACAGCCCATGTCACGTCAAGGGACCTCCCTCCCATTTTTCTTAAAGAGACGCGCTGCTCACTTCCTCACTATCCATCCTTCGATTCAAACAGTCGTATAATATCCAGTGGTCAAAAAAGGTACTAAACACAAAAATTTAACAACATTTCTTCTTAAATTTGACAATAATTACTAATTACTGTCAAATTTCAAACAATATTATTTATCGCAATAATTTCTGAGACAATTAATCGCCCAGCAAAATTTGTTATCGTGACTGGCCTAAAGACAAATCAGTCATGTATAAATGCTTCAAAAACACAAAAACAGCAAGCACAAATTCTGATGATTCACTCTATATAGATTATCCACAGTTTATAAATGATTGTTGGCATAAGAGTTCACAATCACAAACTGTTTAAATCAGCATTTATAAACTAGATTATTAATTATAAGACACAGGTGTGGAGGAAAAAAAAAAAAAGACAAATTCACCTAAATGCTGAACATACAGCAAAAGGCCCACATGCAAAAATTCAGTAAAGTAACACACTAAACTATGTCACATCACTGTGGAGTCTGCCGTCCCTCATGTACTGACCAAGGTCAGTCTAGTTAACAGAGGGGTCTTAATGCTTCCAGACTCCTTGTCAGATGTAATTTGATTTGTTTAAACTAGCTGTCAAACGACATGTTGCACTCACTGCTGGATATTACAATGGCATTCGCTGCTGAAATGCAGCAAAACTAAAACAATTGCCAAAACACGGTGACAAGTATTACAGGGCTGAATCATGAGTGTTCATCTGACAAACCTTTAAGTGTGGAGATGAAAATGCATTTCTTCAGACATTTATCTGAGGTGAAGACGGAGGAGTCAGTACTTTCACCCCGAGTCATACGTCACATTTTAACCCAAATCTGGAGAGAACGAAAAGCTGCATTTCTCTGGGCTGCGACTGTTGACAAACTGCAAACGAAATTCATGGCAGCGTCTTCGAAAAGATTTGAAATGTTAGCATGGTTTATAAATTACCTATCACGGAGTTCTTGTTGCTTGAATTTGAGCATGTTTAAAAACAAATTGAAATTTTCTCTCTAAACAGTTGTCTTGAAGTTTTAATTTAGTTTTTGTACTTCTAGAGCAATAGACCTGTATTTTCTGAATTGTATGTACTTGTAACTTGACCTGGTGTTCATCGATTGCATTTGCAAAATGTGTGCTTATATATAAAATAACTTCTGTAATCGCTCAGTCACACAGTCACACTATGATGTTAGTGGGAATGGGCAACAAAATAATGTGCATGGCCTGGATTACAACTTTGCAAGCTGTGCAAATAAAACTAAGCCATGTTTTTTAACAATTGTCTGCACAAAATGTGAATGTATGGCTCCTGATTGCAAAAACTCTAAATTCAGCGCGACTCCAACTGGAAATTTACAATTACGGCAGCGTTTCCCCAACCATTATCCAAGCGGAGTGCTACGTCATTGCACTAGCTTAGAGCACTGACGTAGCACTAAGCTAGTGGTGCACGCATGCTAGCTAGAAAGTTAAAGGCAGTGCTCAAGCTGCCTCTTCCCTCACGAGCTGTGTCTCTGTCTCCCCCCCCCACACACACTAATTGCTGATACAAACAGCGTGCATTCAGACGTCTCCCCCCACCAGTTGACAAATCATGTACGAGATGAGCGCCCCACCATGGCACATTATCTAGGGGAAACAATGTATTCTCAAAATTTAGAGTCAACAGTCACATCACAGGGAGAAACTGGCTTAATATGTTTGCATTATTAAAGAATAAATAAAAGAATTGCTGAAAAATAGACAATCATAATGTGAGATATTAATAAGAAATTACTGTACAAATTGTTTTAGTTGCAAGACAAAAAGTGTAGAACCACTCGACTGAGGAACAGCTTCTACCCTGAAGCTGTAACTCATAAATCCCTAATCAGTATTATCATTGTGAAAAAAAAACAAAAAAAAAAAACACTGTAATGCAACTTTGATTGTTGACTGATATGCACGGCTAATTATCCATGCTGCTGATCTCATGCTGCTCACAAAGACTCATGTTCGTGCTGCTGTTGTTCGGCGTATTATTTTGCACCATTAATGTTTAGCGTATTTCTTTGTTTACATCTTAAAGATCCTTATTCATATTTATTTTTACAATTTATATTTTTGATATTGTTGGATGTAACTGGGACCCTGTGTACACAATTTCATTCCACCTCATGTACCACGCGAATGCCAATAAAGAACCTTGAACAAACACACTCCGCAGTTTCTACTTGAGCCTGATTTTCTCAAATGTGCTCTTTATAATAATCAATATTCTTATTGACATTTCTCATAAATACTTAAATTTGGTTTGCATTGCACAAAATGCATTAATTGATCCTGTTCTCACATAAATTCGAACGAGGCTCCTATACAATTAAGCCGTGCATCTTTGCAGTGAATTGATGCAATGTCAGCAAAACTGGAAATTATTATAAACCATGAAACAGAAAGAAAGCGCATGGACATCTCCATGAACCATCTTAGTGCTCTAAAGAACTGCAAAAAGTGTGTAACAGGATCCCTTCAACTGAAGCTGCCATCACCCCAGATAGATTACGGTACTAGACTGGAGCACAAGATCTACTGCACATGCAAATATAGTAGATGAAAAATTTAGGAAAACAAAAATCCAACTTTTTACAGAATACCTTCAACCACTTCTACCGTAGTAAGGTTACTTTTGCAGCCATTTCTAAAAGCATTTGTTTGAACAACCAATTTCCTGCTACATGACTTAATGTTAACAGACACCAACAAGAGCATCTCCAGACGTTTAAACATATTTGAAACAAATGGTCAGTCCTCAGGGTTGCTCATTTCTGGTAGACATCCGAGCCATACCAAGGCCAATAGATAGACATGTTCAGCTATTCAGAATGTTGGTTGAACAAT